ATTTGTGTTTCAGACTCTGCGGCAATCAACACACACATATGCATATGTTTGTACAATCACATATTTCATTTTAGGGATAGTCCTTTAGATGTAACACATAGACAATAATCATATTTCTTCAATTTAATTTTAAGTGGTAAATATTCAAATATGTCCTTATTGCTCGACTGTTCCAACACATGAAAACTTTGTTCTTTGACTCGTTATACCAGGTCAACCCCTAGATGCTAAACAGATGCTATCAGGACAGAGGATTCAGGAACCGCTAAACATCCTAACATGGTAGACCACAATTACTGGCATGTAAGATGACATCTGAGAGACGCAACTCTGGACAGTGAATTTCGGCGCCTTTGAGAACTGTGGCACGCATGCTCCCTGCTGTCATTAACCTCCTAAGAGGAAATATAAGTTACTGATCAGCTGCACAAAAGATTTAGAGTCCAAACGATCGTCTGCCGCAATACTTTGAGAATCCGTTTCTCATGGCATTCATTTGATAACATTCGTGGTAGTGTCACTGCATGTTGACAGCAGTGCAGGCATGACTCATGTGTATGTGTGTGGATTATCGGCATTTATTGAACTGTAGATATCGCAGCAACAATATAAACCCTGTGCAGTGAGTAGGCCATATAGAAGCAAGAACAACATCACCTACTCTACCTGATACTCCTCATTATCTTTAAAGCAAGTTGCCTTGGGGACTAGATTTATAATAGGTCCCCAGTAAACTACTGCTTGTTGTAAGACGCGACAAAATTAGACAGGTGGATAGACTTAATGACTTGGTTACTTTGTATCATCGTTGCTCATGATGTCAACAAATGTGTTGTCTGACTCAAACTTCTGATTAATATGTTTCCTAGAAACTGTGTCACATAAGCCAAAACAGATACCACCTGATTGAAATGTCACTTGTTCTTCCTGAATTCTACTTGTCTCAGACTTGCGCACTTGTGATATTAAATTTAAACCCTGCAAGCTGTGTAATATGTTACATGTTCCCAACCTTATCATTACAGTATAAATCTTATCTCTAGTTCAAGATGGGTATATTGTATCTTAACTTTGGGAATGTTAAAATTCCAATTTGGAAATTTGCTGCAGACTTGGGGTCGTATACCGGCCTCACTGTAAATGTACCATTTTAATAAAGAACGTTCTGGGGAAAATGAAAATGATCATAAATGACTGCCGCATATGCATATCGTGTTAAACAGTTATTGGATCAACTCTTGCTCATTTCAAACTTAAATTTGAAGGAAATGAGGTCATATTTGCATAAACAGCATCCTGTCAAAAATTGAAATGAATTGAAATGATTTGGAAATTTACACAACAAATGAAAAGCCCGTCTTGCTATCAAAAACATCCCTGAGTCACGGAAACCGTCCAATTTTGTCTTCATTATAACTTTGCAAGGCTTAATAAATGTATAAGCTGATGAACAACCAGGAAACAACATCACATCTTGCCACCGATTTGAGAATCAACCTATCGCCAGAGCGGAGCTAAACACGCCCTTGACAATCAGGGTAGAATTAATCATCGAAATACACTGTATTTTCGTGTGTATAGTGCACACTTGAGTATTATGCACACACCCCAATCTTGGGTACGTTTCGAAAAGCATTGCTATTGGGCAGTCTTCCTGTGAGTCAGTAAAACAATGCCTAATATTATAACTGAAGACAATTTTGTGCATATTTTTTCAAACGAAATTGTGTTTGAAATTAGTATAACACTGGTAATAATATATTCTAATCACTTGTAATTTTGTTTGTTGCCTTTACTATACATATTTAAAATTGAAATAACTATCTATTATATACTTTGGTTTATTGTTGTATATATGTTACGCATGGGGCAGTTTGACGTGTCATTTGAGGCTTCCCGCCGTTTGCTATATCGATCGCGAAAACATTATGTAGACATGTAACAGTGAAACAACAAATATGACTTTTTACTTGTCAATGTATGATGGCATTTATGAAAGATAATATGATCATGGTTGCTGTAAATAGAGGTGAAAACATGGTAAATGTTTTTTTCTAATCTGCATACTTATAATAACCTGCCCATTTCTGGTGTCCCCGCCGTGATATTGCTGGAATATTGCTTAAAGCGGCGTAAAATCAAACTCACTCACTCTAATAACCTAGCATCTCACCAACAAACGTGCCACCAGGATCTTCGTGATTGAAAAGAATATTATTTGTCACATTTGTGTTACGGTTGTTAATTTAGTTTTATCATTGTTTTGTTTGGACACAAAATACACAATACACAACACACACACTATCAACATGATACTCAAATACTGTAATTGAAGATTGATCAATCACACTAGTTTTTATGCATTGATTGATTATTAGTGTTTGTATAATCAATTATGAAATACAAAACTAATTGATATAAACATTTTGCTGAAAATGCTCAACCATTCCAACCATCTGTAAATAATTAAGCATGAACAAATCACCCATATGCAACCAAGGAGGTATTTTCATATATGGAATGCATTTATAAATGATATGTGAATTGTACTTAATTTAAAACCATGCTAAAGATGTAAGCAGCAAATATCGTATTTATTTTTAACAATTTGTTTTAATTTAAGACTAAACGGAAAATATTTTTTAGTGTTTTATTAACATATGCATTAAGTTTTTGTGAATAACATTTTTTATAACACCATTTTCTTGCAGTTCTGGGTCACATGAGGATGTAAGGTTAAACAGACTTAATAAAAGTCAAAGTCACATTGTTATTTCATATTAGTTGTAATTACTGGTATTATGTAGTCTTGTGTTATTCAGGGAGTGACAGAAAAAAACATTTCTAAATTTAAAATTTGACAAGGAAGTAGATTGCTCCTTCTGTGACAATACATCTGGTGACCTTTCCAATTACTGAAAGATTGCTGTCGAATTGTACGATCTATGTTTTCGTTTCTCTCTTGTCATACTAAAAAAAAAAGGACAAATGAAACACGCCGATTTAGAAGATCCTCAATGTCCGCAAAGATGTATATCAGAAAGCAATGTGAACTTTGTTAATATTAAAATCGCAATATCTTTTAAGGTCGGACAAAAGGTGCCATGTCTACAAGCATTACAACATCGGATTTGTCTGTTAGAATATCTGCCATCATTACATTAAACCATGACTATCTTGTGTATCAGAACTGTTCATAATGCTGTTCAACAGTAGAGATGTACAATGTAAAACGCAACGATTGTCCTCTTGTCTGTTTTCCAATATGACACTATCGGTGTTAAACATATCTCACTTCAAGGTTTCTTTGAATGAAACAGAAAGGCACATTAAGTTGTAATCGGAGAAAGGTTAAGTCCGTCGAAGTAACGTTTTGCAGTTGCAAGATACTACAGAATGGCTGTGCTTAGATGAGCTTTGAAAGTTATATATCTGTTTACTTATGTTTTTGTAAACTATCATATCGGCATGCACTTTGAGTGGAAGCATCCTGATGGACACATGCTTGCAAATGGCTAAAGTAATGTGGTTGAGTGGAATGACTGGTCTTTCACAGACGACATCTCAGAGTCGACCGGAAACAATTCCAAATGCAGGTTCTAGTTACTGCAGCGGGAGATGACCCTCATCCAACGGGCTGTCCACCTATACATTGTAGGTTGCTTGACCATCCACCCAGTTTATGTTGGCCACTGAGCCTGTGTAAGGCCAGTGTCGCTTGATTGTCACTGGACAAAAGTTTGATAAAAGTGATAAGTATTGCGAATACCCTACCTCTATTGCATATGTGCCAGATGCTTGTTAAGTTCAGGTTCAATCACATCAATTTCCCACGAAAATTTTGAAATTGACTGGATCCTTTAATCACACATGACAGAATATATATAGAAGAGGAAGGGAAACACTAAAGAATAACTATAGACGAATTTCGGTCGTTTTAGTTACCCACTCTAATACGAGTGTGTCCTGTCCTGCCCAAGTAGTTGTGTATTCTGAGATGGACTGAAGCTGAGTATAATTTATGCTCAGGAAACTGATGTAGGGTCCCTTGGCACCCCAAAACACAGTTTCAACATGGGACATATTATACAACTATTGTCCTGACAGCGGGATATTGGCAATTAGCTCTGAATGAACAAAGTAAGCCCACAAGTGCATTTGTGACAGCTTGTGGTCCTTATCACTTTAGTTGTATGACCTTTGGTCTGGCCTCTGCCCAAGCAACATTTCAAAGATTGTTTTACGCCAAATGAAATTGATCAATGTGCTATTTGGACTCTCGTTGGCAGTCTTAGAAGAAGTATTTTGTGCTTAGGAAGTGTAAATTAAAAAGCAAAACCCTCCAAATGTCAATTTGCTAAACTGTCGGTAGCTCAGTTGGGCCATATTTTTGTTTTAAAAAGTGATGTTTAGTAAGGCCCTAAAAAAAAACAAGCGTGATAGCATCCTTTAAAACCACAATTTTAGTGGTAGTTTGTAGTCCTCGGAATTTAAGGGGCGGTGGGGTAGCCTAGTGGTTAAGGCATTCGCTCGTCACGCCAAAGGTATGGGTTTGATTTCCCTAAATGGGTAAAACCTGTGAAGTCAATTTCTGGTGTCCCCCGGTGTGATATTGCTGGAATATTGCTAAAAGCGGCGTAAAACCATACTCACTCACTCACTTAACATTTATGCAGAACATTTTGAATATCAATTCTGAGAGCAACCTGTCAAGTGTCCGTCTTTGCTGGCATATTAAACTGTTCAGTAGGTATCCAGATGAGCTGAACTATTTCTCCAAATATTAGTTTAGTAGGGAATTAGTTTTGAAATGAATTATGTAAGAAAAAATATTGTTCACTGAACAACATTGCAAGACAATGACTTATTTAAAACTACCACATTTGGAGTATTAGAAGAGATTGAAAATCAATATTTAATGTCGTGTGGTATGGAGAAATAGGACAGTGTGACAGTTGAAAACGTAAAACAAGCGTACTCCACATCACGTTTGGTATACTGTTTCATGTCATTTCTATTGACTTTGAACCTCCCATAAACTGACTTGCACAATCGGCCTCATAGTAACTTTTGATGCTGTTTATTCAAACTATTCATAGCTTAATCAGTGTCTAGAAGCTGACCTGACTGAAAGTAAAAGGAGCTTTTTACTGTGGTCTTTTGGTCCGGTGTCCATCTTGCATCTTGCATATTCTCATAAAACCACTGGTCCAATGATGACGAAACTTCACATGTATGTTCCCAGCACTGATGAAACCTGAATTTGTCCCAGAGGTTTGATTCCGATTTTCTAAATGGCCACCTTGGTGATTTTTTTTGGTCTTGTTTAGGTTAAATTCAAAGATTTTTTGGTTGAGCACTTGCGGCTGAATGTTGGCCCCTAGGTCCCAAGGACACGTAGATTAAGCCTCGACAGTACAAAAAATTAAACTAAATCGTATTATCAATAAATAAGTTGCAAGTGATTCCATGGAATTTTATTGGCTAACCAATCAATTTTTTGTTTCCATAAATTTAACATGAACTAGAACATGCCCACTAGCGGACTTCTGTTTCCTGACCGATGTCACTGATTTCGTATCGTTGTCTATAGTGTTTATGAAAATAAAAATAAAAGCAGTCTCTGAAATAATTATTGTTGACTTATTTATTTAAAAGAATTGACTTCAATAGTATTTTCGTTTATAGAGGTATAAACTTAAATAGCGGTGTGTAAATCTTACCTTTATCACTTTGACTAATCAGATGTAAAATAAACACTGTGCTTATGTAGGGGCACTATAAAATGTTTTTTAATGACTGTGTTACTTAGCCTGGACTGTGTATTTGTGTATTGAATATTGTACTTCTGTCATACAAAAACTTGGTTTGATATTGTTTACCGCTATTGGACAGAAACCACCATATGCATTTATGTTTGTACTGTAGTGTATAACCAGGACCTTGCAACTCTCACAGTGACCATTAGTGTTTAGTAGTTTAAAATACAAATGTATCATATTCGTTTCAGTCTCTATCAGTATATTAATAATGCGACAATAACATATCCTTATCTTCTTTAACATGTGGACTGGACCGGTAAACATTATGCACATGTGAGACAGTTTTAAAATTGTGCTAAAAATAATATATTATACATTTCACTTTCATACAAACTCTTCCTTAAGCGATTTTGTCATCCCGCCTGTTCTTTTTCTCTCTAAAGAAACACTTACATGAAGAATTATTGCACTTAAATTGACTCATTATAATGTGAGAAAACAATAGCTTTTGACTGACTGATGATTCACTTGATGCAAATAAAATATATTGCTGATAAAAGAACAGAAGACGGCGGAAGATTTCAGTTAATTCTGATGAGTTGTCATTGATCCATTAATTAGTTAAGCATGCTAAAGGCATATTTGTATCTGGTCGCTTTTATGTTTACAATACAGTCAGCAGTACCTTGCTATTCCATTAATCTGTATGTGATTGAAAGTCTGGACCAGACAAAACTATTTGATATCATGAGCAACGCCAGTTTATGATGACATGCATCCAAAAAGGTCACTGCGTCAGACCAACCGATCCAGTTTAGTCGCCATGTATGACGAACAAGGGTCCTATTATTATATTGGATCAGCAGTTTATTGTCTTCAAATGACTGTATAAGACAAGTGGGCGTTGCCACTGTAGCTTAGATTCAAGGCCATGACAGCAAGTATGATGTTAAGATATCATTTGTACCCGGTAAGTGTGCGTTGTTTTGATTTGTGGTGTCAGTCTTTCTCCAAGGAAAAGCATTTAGGTATTATTGTTCATGTACAAATGTCTTCAAATTGCATTTCAAGCAAGGTACCAAGGAACATAACTCTTTGCTGGAATGAACTTCTGTCTAAACTTTCTGACTTTCATCCAGGTCCCCTGCAAGTCCTGTTTAAACAGATTTCAGTGTGTCTCAACTTTGATAATAAATGTTGCATTGGACAAAGGTTGTCTTGATTTGAATACCATGATGAAAGCGTCAAATTCTGTTTCCTCTGTTGTTGTTGTTGTTTTTGACTATGAACACAATTTTATTGAGATATATACTAATCAATACAGACATTTTGTCTTTGTCTTACATCGTTAAAGACATAAAACACACCATGAAGTCAAACAAAAAGCTATTATTACATTTCATGATAAAACTCGTACTCAATTAGTATTTGGGCAACATGAGTGAAACTCTCGGGTGAATTCGGAAATCAATCGGAGAATTTTAGATGATACCAATCTTTTCACTTTTCCTTTATATATTGTACAATATCACTGTTTCTTATGATTTGTGATGATAGCTGCAGGTACCTGATATCAATATCGATATTTCCCTTGAAGGATGAAACAATGGATATAGATTTTCTGTTCTCCATTGTCTCATGGTTATTATTGCTTCATTTAATAAACCGTAAATTCTTAGTATACATCGTTGGCGACTATGCTTGTTGTAAAAGGTGACTAACGGGATCGGGTGGTCAGGCTTGCTGACTTTTTTTATGCATGTCATCGATGCTCATGATGTCAGTCACTGGATTGTCTGGTCCAGACTCGATTATTTACAGACTGCCGTTATATAGCTGGAATATTGCTGAGTGCGGCGTTAAACCAAAAAAAAGCAAAAAAAGTAGACATAGTAGCAAAACGGCATATGTATATACCTTGACAACATCGTGCAATGACACCGTAAAGAAATCTTCCAGCACAAGCGTCATCAATGTCTCTCCTGCATCAATGATGTAGACACAGTACAGGTTGTTGAGATAATTGAGAGGGTAGTTAGGTGAGGAGATAGAGCAAATTGGGGTGTTTGCAATGGACAAACAAACCATGACATAAGCTCACTTGACTTTCAGTCAGTTGAGCTAAATATTAGCTGAAGAATACTTGGACAAAGAAATAAATCCCCCATTCAGTGTTTCTTTTATACTGAAACATTCATATTTCACTGTCGGTGGCATTCAGTGTGAGTGCTATGGAATCAAACCTGTTTCTATGTAGCCCATGTTTGACAGAATGGTACAATGTCTGAAGCCCTTTTCGGGTGTTCCCTGCCGTGATATTGCTTGAATATTGCTAAAAAAGTGGCATAAAACCTTACTCACTCACTCACTCACTCGACAGAATGGGCTCATTCATATCAGAATTACTTCCTATTTACTGTTTGTAAAAGTAATTTCTAAAAGATCATTAATCTGGTACATGTACATTCACTCTTCATTCCATATATTGGTTCTAATTACTTTATAAATAAAGCACACACTACCTTGTATTCATCTTGATATATCTTAATAAAAAAAACTGTACATACCTTGACGACATCGTTCCAATACAACGACACATAGAAATCTTCAAATACGAGAGTGATCAATGTCTCCCCTGCATCAATGATATAGACACAGTTCAGGTAGTTGTCATAATTGCCAGGGTAGTTAGGTGAGGAGATGGAGCCAGAGGAGCCTGTGTAACGCCCACCGCATCCTGAAGTAGATACAATAAGGTGTGTGTGCATAGCTTGATTATAATGTATCTTCTTGAAATTAGAGAAATCTAAGGAATCAAAAACAAATGGATGAAATGTGTGAATGAATGAAAGGTTAGAAGATTGGTGCAAAACATACATTGTAACATAATCACTTGTATATGCACTCTGCAATATGGCCGCTATATGACCGTGGTCTGTAAATAATCGAGTCTGGACCAGACAATCCAATAATTGTAGATCTAGAGCATCGATCTACACAATTAGGATACGATGATACGCATCAACCAAGTCAGCGAGCCTGACCACCCGATCCTGTTAGTCGCCTCTTATGACAAGCATAGTCGTCTTTTACAGCAATGATAGGTTGCTGAAGACCCATTCTACCCCTGGTCTTCACGGATCATTTTTAAATGTGGAAAGACATTTCTCTGCCAATTCCATCACAATTAAGAGTTAATTATACAAGGTTTAGATGCAGTTAATTTAGAATTTAGGCGAAATGTTGATGCTGAAACAAATAAAACTGTAACCTTTGCTGAAAGTATTTGTCATTTTATCACCAAATAACAAAGTTTACTGACGACAAATTACATGTCCTTCTCATGTGTGGCAATTAAAACTGCTCTCAGAAAGTCCTTACCGCACAGATATGTTAAATCACATTCTTTGAAACGCTTCAATGATATTAATTTAACACCTCTCAAAACAATGATATATCACACTAACTTTCTCCACATTTCTCTAAAATGTTCTAAAACTGCGCAACTGAAGTATATGTGATCTCTATAATGAATAACATGTGTTACAATGTGATTCCTAAGTAAATTCCCAACAAAATTGTGAAATCAGTAAATGTCCACACAAGATCAATGACTAATTAACAAATCATATTGAAACACACATATTGTGTGTTGTTTAATGACACACTGCAAAATTTCCGCAAAATGAATGTTATGAATATTGTAAATAATCTAGACCAGATAATCCAGTTATCGATTTTGTGTGGAGGTATCGATATTGTGTGGAGGTACAAATACAAGCAATCAACCGAGCTGAGTTACAGAGTTTGACCATCCAAAGCATTTTGTCGTCTCATATAGCCAGCGGAGGTTGCTGGGGATCATTTCATCCCCAAATCCCACTAAGGCATAAAATAAATCGGAATGCTAAAATCACATAATTTGAAGCAACCTCTTGCCGTTATAGAGTCTCACTATGAACAGCTGCAAATATTTATCTATTTATTTGTTTGATTGTTTGTACCTACAAATGTTAAAACTAGTAGGTAATTTGACAAATTGAATATCGATATTTATTTAGGTCAGCCGATTGAAACAGAGTTCTATAAAAAAAACTTTTGGACAACCACATATTTCATGGCCACTTTATGACAAACCTTTACATTGTTTTGTTGTGTCACTCAACATATAAAGCAAAATACACTAGACAGTCAGGTTACAATTTCATTTGCTTTTACTCATCCTTACAAAGATCTATTAAGGGACAGCGTAGCTGTCTGACCCTGGAGAGTTCTGCAGACACACCAAAATGACCTGCCCACCTTATATGAATGTAATCTATAAAGGAAATCTTGAGATGTGTCACTAACAAATACCTTAAAAAGAAAAAGGTTTCAGTGAATGAGTGGTTTCACTTTGTACATATGTCTTTAAGCTCCTCACAGTACTAGCTTTGTCGAGGAGCTCTCTACTACCAGTGACAGCTCCCCACTGTGCTTGGCACATGAACTATACATGGAGCTGAACTCACAACTGATTGAATGTAATGTTTGCGAACAAGAGAAGATTGGTACACTTTCCCAAGCTAAATCCGTTTTTTTTGCAGATGTCATTTTCCATTCAAGTTCTATTTCATTTCAACTATCCTTTAATTAGTACAATGAGAATGTAAGGGGAAAGTTGGATGTTTTTCCGTTAGTCTGCAATCTTAAACTAATCTGATAATACACATTTATTTAAATTCATCTGGGAAATAGTAAGTTAGTCGAAACCTTTCCCAGTTCACTGTAATGTCATTCACAAGACATGCAGACAAACATAAATGTCACTACATTTGGGGTTAGAGGGAAAACTTTTCGGAATTTCTCTTATGACCGCTTGCACACTGATGGCAGCTATAATAGCGGGAGGGTGATATGCCGTCACCTGCAGAGTATCTTACCCAATGTATTATTGTTGTAAAAGCACTTATCTCCGCATATGTTTATTTTTGGACGCATTCGCATCAATGATTTTGTCTTTATTTTATCATTTAAATAATCTTGATTTTAGTCGAAGTCAAAGTTGTTGTAGTCAGTGTAAATCACAACTATGGTGAACCACACTACCCAAGGTCAAATGGTCTTGCAGAAAGGACAGTCGTAACCATGAAACCACTCATCTGAAAGTGTAAAGAGGAAAACCAGGATATAGACAAAGCTCTACTTCTCCTGACAGCAACCCGTCTCACATCAAATTCCATCCCCAGGAGAGATTCTATTCAAACTACCACTCTCCACAACATTGCCGTCCAGACAAGCACCGCACATCACCACCCAGGCACAAAGAAACAGTCTAACACCCAGTCAGGACACAATGAAGAGGTACCATGTTAACCATGCACTACTGACACATCTACAGCATTGGTACGTGGTCAACCAGTCTGAACATACAACCACAAGACCAGAAATTGGACACCAGGCAGAATACGAGGAAAGACGAGAACAAGCCACATTCATACTACGTCAGTCCTGCCGGCAGCAACACACTCCGAAGAAATCGCTCTGATGTGAGCGAGATGTCGCCAAGGTTCACAGACATGTCTGGACAGTCACCTAACAATTAGCCACAGTCAGCAGCAAGGAAACCACCAATTACTACACCCACAACTACTGAGGTGATGAAAACTCTTTGTCCAGTCACCAAGACAACGGAATCCACAAAGCTATAACAATGCGTGTCGGTCTGACGTTGATTAATGAACAATTTGCATACTCATATATGCAAGGGGCCGACATATGGTTCTCAGTAGGAAGTGACAACTTGGAGACGATGGCGTGCGGTATATACAGTTTTACTTTATACATGTAGATATATACATACAAAAGACACTTTGTGCCAGGTCAGCACATGGTGGTAGTGGTTGGTGTCTAGGTGCCCCGGAGCACCCAGCCTAACCCTAGCTAGGCTAAGGGTAAGACCTTTCTTTTCTCCTCTGGACCAAGGCTAATATAGCCAAGGTCACCTGACATTCAGTAAGTAATAAATATAAATGTAAACAGTAAATCATCAGTGACATACTTGCACATCCTGTTCAGGATGGCAGACGGTCGATGTACACAAAAATTGGGATTAATAATTAGGATTAGCATCTTATAAATAACAGCAATTAAATGTTTCAAGGCATATAGATGTCATGGCTCCAGGGTAATGAGCCTTTGCAATTAAATGTTCTTCAGACAATGGGTGTCGTAAATAAGTCGCCATGACAACTTCCCTCCGTTACATGAAGCTTGGACCCCAAGCTTACATGAGTCCAAATTGATATATGTGTTAACATTTTCACCACAAAAACAACCATGCAAATGTGAACAAAATCAGTTACATGAAATCCTTATGCAACAAATATATCTATGCAATGATATGAAAGTGATCATCTAGCCAATCTGATTTAGTGCCAGTTCGAAAACTAACCAAGTGATCTTTGTAATGTGCAATTTCGCTACAAGGTAATTACCACTTTGCACAGATTCAATAAATATATCATTGAAGGTTCTTTGAATTCAGGAGTCTGGCTTGGCGGTGCGACTCAGTACCGAATAATGATAATGAGTAATGTCATAAAAAGTACAAATTAAACATCTCAGCAAATACTTCGCATAAAGAAATTTGAAACCAGGAGTCTAGCTTTACCGCGTGACTCAAACGGTACTTGTGGGTACTATTGCCCTTTTAAGTACAATGGGTGCTCTTCCCGTGTCTTTGCGGAGCTTGCCCAGATATTGTGGGTGCGATGCCCAAGAAAAAAAATATCCTTAATTCCGACATCAAAATTCTGAAATGCTGAATACTGCTGTGCTGTTAATTACTTAACACTGACATACAATATACATATGTGTGGGGGTGGCTCACCCAAGAATATCCCTAATCTGAATTCAAAGTCCTAGACAATACATTCAATTTTGTACCAAACTGTGCACATTAATTACTTGTAACAAATGACAAATTTTGTCATTTAGATTTTTGAAATTACGAGTCGAGCTTAGAGGTGTGACTCGATAACCCTACAGCTTAGGTTTGTCTGGGCCCTAGCTGCAACTATATGTCTGGCGTGGCCTGGAGACATTTCAAAGATTCCCTACACAATAACTTCAAAGATCTAACTTGACTAAAGATGTAATTTGGAGTATATTGCACACATACAAAACTGAATTTTAGAAAGACACATTTTTGCATTAATATACTGGCTTTGATTAAACATACCTGGTTGCACTATTCAACAGTCACACAATATATATCCTTGATTGAGTCCATGTAAGTAAACACAAATTAGTAAGTCCCAATGAGATATCTTGTACACAGTGTCCATCTTGTAGGTGCCCGTGAGGCGGTTTCTCTATTGTGCAGGGTCTGCATGAAGATGGCTGTGGACGGGTCTCTGTGGGATAGGCGTGTATACTTCTTTTCTTAGGTCATGTGCAGGAACGACATCTTGAAGGGGAAGTCTTAGCAGTGTTGCTAAGATATTCGAGCAGGGAAGGTTTGGGATCGGAGAACTTGTTCTTGATCAGAGAGGTTCTTGTTCTTTCTTCAATCTTGTTAAAGGCCTTTTCTTTGTTCTTGGTGATTGGCCTTCAGGAAGGTAGTATATCCTTTCAATAAGAGACTGTCACTTCCTACAGTATTGTGAACCATATGCCATGCTGCAAAGAGGTACAGGAAAGGACAGACTAAGAAGTCTGTCATACCCGATAGCTCCACCAAATTAACAACGCGTC